GGTCTGGGTGAGGTTGAGGCCACGGTGCGGGGACACTGCTCGTCCTCACGGCGCCGCGCGGGGTCTCGCAGGCGCACCCTCGACATGCAGAACGACGCCGGCGAGTTCGTGGACCTGTACGTGCCTAGGAAATGGTGAGCGCCGCCCGCGTCCCGTGCCCACCTTCCCNCCACCTTCCCACCCCCTTCACCCCACCCGTCCCGCTCACTGCATTCTCCCCGCAGCTCCGCCAGCAACCGCATCATCGGCGCCAAGGACCACGCGTCCATCCAGATGAACGTGGCCGAGGTGAGCCGGCGGCGCGAGGGCTTGGGCGTGCGGAGGCGGCTCCAGAGCAGAGGGCTCGAGGTCTGGGCTGGCCCCGGGACCGACGGAGCCCAGACCCCAGGTTTAGACTTAAGGCGCTCGAGTCCCTGTCTGGTGACCCTTCTTCTCCATCAATAGGTCGACAAGGTGACAGGCAGGTTCAACGGCCAGTTTAAAACCTATGCTATCTGTGGGGCTATTCGCAGGATGGTGAGTGTCCCGGGCTTGGCTCACTGGGGGCCTTTGAGGGGGGAACGGTGTCTTCTCTTTCTCAGGCCTGAGGCCATTTGTTGGCAGAATGGGTTTATGCCTCTGAGACTAGACTGAGCTGTCCCTCTGTTCCGGGGGAGGGGGGAGAAGGGTGCTTAAAAGCCCCAGGCAGGGCCATCCTTTTACCTTGGATCTTCCCAGTTATCACAGGCCCCGCCCACCTCCCGCCCAAGTCCTCCCCCTGTCCAGTGAGACCAGAAGAGTGCCCACAGCTAGGGCTGGGTGGTCCCCGGTGGACCTCCTGCCAGCTAGGGGCAGCAGGGAACATAGTTCCAATGTGTTTTCTCCCAGGGTGAGTCAGATGACTCCATTCTTCGATTGGCCAAGGCCGACGGCATCGTTTCAAAGTAAGAGGGCTCACATTTGGGCACAGGATGGGACTTCTCTGGAGACAAGGCTTTAATGTCGTTCTTCCTTTTGTTTAGGAACTTCTGACTGGAGAGCATCACAGATGTGAAATTTGTTATAAATAAATAGTGGAAACCCCCTGTGTTTGTTCATTGTATGCTGGTAGGCGTGCTCTGGGCTCTGGAGGGTCAGGGCTGACAAGTCTGCTATGAATGGGTGACGAGGGGCCAGCCTGCTGGAAGGACACAACCTATGAAATATGCTGCAAAACCAAACTTTACTTTAAAGCACAAATACAAACACCTGTGACAGGACTCGGTATTGAGGTCAGATAGTTGCTTAACGCACATTTAAAATCCACAACTGCTACTGGGCTCTGAGGGAGTGGTACCAGGCCTTGGACACCCTTCAGATGCCTGGGCTTGTTCTAGAAGATGGGGGTTCAGGCCAAGGTTTGGCTTAAATACTGGCTTTGCTGCAGGGATTCTTGAGTACCACACGTAGCTCTCAGCATTACTAAAAAAGACGTACAGCAGGAAAGGTTACAGACAAAATTGGAAGACAACTAAATCTTACTATGTAAATGTGCGATCTTAAATTACTGTATCAGTTGTTCTAATGACTATAGAAATTCCCAAAGAGATAGGTCCCTCGAGGTGAAGTTGTAAACGAGGACATGTTTTGCAAATCCCTTACAGTGCTGAAACAGAAGTGTCCGTGAGATGTATGGTGGCAGGACAGGTTGCTTTCCAGAAGTTGCTGGACCTAGCAACTTACACTCTCTGATCCACTTGATGTGCACCTGGTTTAGGGGGCCAGCTTGGAGAGGGAGACACCACAACAAGGTTGGGACACAGACACAGGCTTAATTCTCCATCCTGTAGTCTCCCTTAGCCTGAATGTATGGAAGAAGGAACAGCAAATGGGTGGGTGCACCTCTGCTGGGGTCTAGGCCAAGTTGCTGGTGGTTGGGTGCTGTGTTGAGCAGAACTGGCCTTTCTGCCAAAGCACCAGCCCACACAGAGAATGCAGGGTGGGGGCTGACCCAGGGCCCCTCCAGTGACAAGTCTGTAGCACAACAGGGAAGCAGCTTGATGGCCCAGGCAGAACGGCCATTTCCCAGACTAGCTAACTTGCCAGTCCTTGGTTCTTAAAGTGTTTTTGGTGGGGCAGCAAGCTGGATAACTGGACATCACAATTTGTGCAAGGACGATGCAGACTTGGGAAAGCTGCTGAGCGTGGACCTGCTGAGTGGCGTGATGCACCAGCCTTTTGGCCTAGACAGCCTTGGAAAAAAGGCATTGAGCCGACAACCCTCAGGGTGGGGGGAGGTTCTGTGAGGTGTGGGGTGGGGCTGTGGTCAGTCTCCTCCCAGCCTGAGGATGAAGTGTGGTTGCAAGTCACTTCACACCTCATTTAACCAGTTTGTGTTCCCTTAGGAGAAAGACCTACAGAGCAGAATCCCAAATGACAATAAATAGGATGTTTTTCTGTCACAATATTGCTTAGTGAGATCAAGAGCCACAAGCCAGCAATGCAGTCATCTGAAGGTTCAGAGTGTCGTGGGCCAACAGGTTTTTCCTGGTGAGGTGAAGGGCAGTCTTCACATGGAGCAGCTTGTTTGCTGAGGCCTGTTGGAGTGCGTGACACTTTGGCATCAGGACTTCACAGTGACATGATGCTTGGAAGAAGAGAGGTCCAAGAGTAAAAACTGGTCAAAACAAACCAGGAGGCCGTTCTTGTTGGCTCTGCTTGTGGATGTGGGGAGGGGAGTGGACAGGGGGGCTGGGTGGGAGCCAGGCCATGGGTTGGGGTGTGTCCTACAGCGCTGTTTCCATATCCAAAAATCTGAAGTAGTCAAGCTTAATGCTTCCATATGTTAACTTCAGCAACTTCAGTGTGCTCAGCAGCACGTGGAAACACTGACTGCCACTGTGACGCCAGTGCAGTGGCTACGATGATATGTGGAGGGCAAGGCAACGCAAATGAGAAATATGCCATGAAGTCAAGATCCACGACATAAATCAAGGGTCCTGGTGCCAGACCAGTCTCAGGCAAGTGAAAAGAAACTAACAAAGCCCACACTCTGTTCACGTAAGAATGCAGGAATACTCAGAAACACCATGGGTTGTGGTGCACTTTTGGAATGGAAGCCAGGGTCCCCCAAGGAAGCAAGCGTGTGAAGGCAGGACTGGCATGTCCCAGCTGGGAGGGTGCAGCAGTGGGGTGGTGGTGCACTTCACTGCCTGGGAATAGCCCCTTGGCCTACAAATGTGGGTGCGCTGAGTGGCGTGGGCGCCAGAGGCAGGCTGGGCAGTGTCCTCGACTAGAACTGCTGCGTGAGGCGTCTGTAATGAGGTAACACCTGGTTCTCAGGAAGGTAAAGAGCAAGTTCCAAGGCCACAAGCACTGTGAACTCAAACCCAATTAGATCCCGTCTGTTGAACCGAAACCTTTCTTCTAACTTCTGTGTTGAAGAAGAGAGAAGGGTTAAGCGAGGTCACCTACTCTGGTTCTTATCTAAGTTAACAGGTTTGGGAGTGGGTGACTGGTCCCACTCCAGGTTAACTAGTGGGGCAATGACCACTCTTCCCAGGGGTGGTGCCCAGCATTACAAGTGCTGGCTGGGGTGACACTCATTGGGGGCAGTGGTGGGTTGGGATGGAATGGTGGCTGAGGTGGGGCCCG